CTTTTCTTTCTTTCTTTCTTTCTTTCTTTCTTTCTATCTTTCTTTTCTTTTTTCTTTTATTCCTTTTTTCATTCTGATGATTTTTTAATTTATTCCGACGTCTTTTGTCAATTTCTTTTCTTTTTTTTTGTCCATGTCACATATATTTACATTTATTCTTTTAATTTCTTTCTTTTTTATTTTCTCCTATATATTCTTTCTTTCTTTCTTTCTTTCTTTCTTCTTTCTTTTTTTCCTTTTCTTTCATTTTGATGTTTAATTTATTGTAACTTCTTTTTCACTTTTCCATATATTTACATTTATTCTTCTGATCTAATTTCTTTCTATTTATTTTCTCTATATATATTTTTCTTTCTTTCTTTCTTTCTTTTCTTTCTTTCTTCTTTCTTTCTTTCTTTCTTTTATTCCTTTTTTCATTCTGACTTGATTTTTTAATTTTTCGACGTCTTTTGTCAATTTCCTTTTCTTTTTTTTTTGGTCCATGTCAATATTTCATTCTTCTGATCTAATTTCTTTCGTTTTTTTATTTTCCTCCTATATTTTTTTTCTTACTTTCTTTCTTTCTTTTCTTTCTTTTTTCTTTTTCTTTTCTTTCTTTATTCCTTTCCTTCATTTTGATGTTTAATTTATTGTAACTTCTTTTGTCATTTTTTTTTTTTATTTGGTCCATGTCACATATATTTACATTTATTCTTCTGATCTAATTTCTTTCTATTTTATTTTCCTCCTATATTTTTCTTTCCAGTTTTTTTATTTTTTTCATTCTTTCTGATTTTTTAATTTATTCCGACGTTTTTTTGTCAATTTCCTTTTCTTTTTTTTTGGTCCATGTCACATATATTTACATTTATTCTTCTGATCTAATTTCTTTTTTTTATTTTCCTCCTATATATTCTTTTTTTTTTTTTTCTTTCTTTTTTTTATTCCTTTCCTTTAATTTCTTTTGTCTTTTCTTTTTTTTTTTTGGTCCATGTCACATATATTTACATTTATTCTTCTGATCTAATTTCTTTCTTTTTTATTTTCCTTATATTCTTTCTTTCTTTCTTTTCTTTCTTTCTTTCTTTTCTTTCTTTTTTCTTTTATTCCTTTCCTTCATTCTGATGTTTAATTTATTGTAACTTCTTTTGTCTTTTCTTTTTATTTGGTCCATGTCATATATATTTACATTTTTATTCTGATCTAATTTCTTTCTATTTTATTTTCCTCCTATATATTCTTTCTTTCTTTCTTTTTTCTTTCTTTCTTTCTTTCTTTCTTTTTATTCCTTTTCTTTCATTTTGATGTTTAATTTATTGTTTCTTTTGTCACTTTTCTTTTTATTTGGTCCATGTCACATATATTTACATTTATTCTTCTGATCTAATTTCTTTCTTTTTTTATTTTCCTCCTATATATTCTTTTCTTTTCTTTCTTTCTTTCTTTCTTTTATTCCTTTCCTTCATTTTGATGTTTAATTTTATTGTAACTTCTTTTTTTTTTTTTTTATTTGGTCCATGTCACATATATTTCATTTATTCTTCTGATCTAATTTCTTTCTATTTTATTTTCCTCCTATATATTCTTTTTTTTCTTTCTTTCTTTCTTTCTTTCAATTTCTTTCTTTTTTTCATTCTTGATTTTTAATTTATTCCGACGTCTTTTGTCAATTTCCTTTTCTTTTTTTTGGTCCATGTCACATATATTTCATTTATTCTTCTGATCTAATTTCTTTTTTTTTTTTTCTCTTATATATTTTTTTTTCTTTCTTTTCTTTCTTTCTTTCTTTCTTTCTTTCTTTTTTATTCCTTTCCTTCATTTTTGATGTTTAATTTATTGTAACTTCTTTTGTCACTTTTTTTTTATTTGGTCCATGTCACATATATTTCATTTATTCTTCTGATCTAATTTCTTTCTATTTTATTTTTCCTCCTATATATTCTTTCTTTCTTTCTTTTCTTTCTTTCTTTTCTTTCTTTCTTTCTTTTCTTTCTTTCTTTTATTCTTTTTTCATTCTGACTTCTGTTTTTTAATTTATTCCGACGTCTTTTGTCAATTTCCTTTTTTTTTTTTTTTTGGTCCATGTCACATATATTTCATTTATTTCTTCTGATCTAATTTCTTTCTTTTTTATTTTTCCTATATATTCTTTCTTTCTTTTCTTTTCTTTCTTTCTTTTTTCTTTCTTTTTTTTTATTCCTTTCCTTCATTTTGATGTTTAATTTATTGTAACTTCTTTTGTCTTTTCTTTTTATTTGGTCCATGTCACATATATTTACATTTATTCTTCTGATCTAATTTCTTTTCTTTTTTATTTTTCCCTATATATTTCTTTCTTTCTTTCTTTCTTTCTTTTCTTTTTCTTTCTTTCTTTCTTTCTTTCTTTCTTTTATTCCTTTTTTTCATTCTGACTTCTGATTTTTAATTTATTCCGACGTCTTTTGTCAATTTCCTTTTTTTTTTTTTGGTCCATGTCATATATTTACATTTATTCTTCTGATCTAATTTCTTTCTTTTTATT